GTGCGCGCCCCCCGCCCGCCCGCCCGCCACGCCTCCTTGCCTCCTCGCCTCCTCGCTCCCGCCGGGCCCGAGCTCGCCTGGCGTTACGAGGACTGTTGACGGATCCAATCGGCCCTCTTACACCGACATCTCCTGTGTGTTCGGGGTTCCCTTGAGCAAATGTTCATGGTGCCCCGTTAGAAACGTCCTCCTACCTGCTGTCTCAACCCAGGCTGTGGAGGGTCCATAGTCAACCAGCTAAGCGATCAGCCAAGCAACCAACCAGCCAAGCAGGCAGTCAGCCCTGTGCTCGTGCCACCTGCCCTCCCGGAGGTTTTTGCCCCTCGGCGGGAAGAAGAGACACAGAGTACACCGGAGAAGCTAACATAAGACAGTGCGCTTAGTGCGCAGCGGAGGGTGTAGTTAGGAAGCACGAGTGCTCAATGGAACAGGTGGAAAGCCAGCTGGCCTGGGGTTTACAGGATGGCTCTCAGCTCAGCTGTCAGCGCCCCCCGCCCTTCCTTTATCACCCTTCCTTAGCAGCTCCTCTAAACTTTAGTTCCTCCGACACACATCCTGTTGCCTTTTTCTTAGCACTTCTCAATCTTTGAGATCATCCTGTTCATTTGTTTAACTTCCACTCAGATGTAAGCCCTTGAGGGTAAGGGCTTGCTCAATAATGATTCTCAGTAAGGGCTCAATGGTTATTTATTGAAAAATGAAATAATTCTTCGTGGAATGAATGAATTACTGGAATCATACAGCCACTAGACTGTAAGCGCCTGACAGGGAGGGTCTTGCCAGACTTGTCCAGCAAAATCCCCCTGCACCTACATAATCCCTGGTTGTTGCGTAAATGAATGAATGAGAAGGACGTGAGGGGGCAGGATGGCATGGCATGAGGTTTTATCCACATCACGAGATGAACCTCGTCCAGTGGACAAACTGGCCTCGCTTTCAGGACGAGGCCTCTCTCTCTGGTACCCGCCACACTCCACAACCTGTACCCCCTAATAGAACAATTTGCCGTTTTTTTTTTTTGTTTGTTTGTTTGTTTTTTGCGGTACGCGGGCCTCTCACTGTTGTGGCCTCTCCCGCGGTGGAGCACAGGCTCCGGACGCGCAGGCTCAGCGGCCATGGCTCACGGGCATAGCCGCTCCGCGGCATGTGGGATCTTCCCGGACCGGGGCACGAACCCGCGTCCCCTGCCTCGGCAGGCGGACTCTCAACCACTGTGCCACCAGGGAAGCCCCAATTTGGCGTTTTAAATGATGGCTGTGGAGGAAAAGTTTTACATCTAGTTACCTAGAAGCTAGTTCGAAGCACTACCTCATTCTTGTTCTTAGCTCATTTGATTGTTAAAAACAAATAAAAGCCAGGTTAATTTAGGAGGGAGGATAATTTTTTAAAATAGCCGAGGTCCTTTATATAAAGAAACAGAAAAATTACATTGGACAGGAAGGAAATAATATGGTTGGGTAGTTGCTAAGTGCAGTTTGTGGTACCTAGGACTTTAAAAACAAAACCTACAGTACTTAGAGGGGATTCTTAGGGAGGTAATGCTTTACGGGCTGCTGAGAGAGCCTCAGCCTCAATTACTGAGAAGTTAATATCGCTGGGTGTTAAAAACACTGGTCCAGGAACCGTCAGCACAGAACCCTGTCTCCGCTATTCCTGGAGCTCCGTGAAGCTGTTCACCATCCAGGATTCCTATTCTGTTTATTTTAGAGAATGTTATTCTGCCCCCTAGTTCAATATTTCTGTTTTTTAAAGTTGTGAAAATGACAGCTACCCCCCACCCCCATCCTATATCAGTCTATCGATTTTGCTCACTACAGCTTGAGTGGTGGGGATGGGGGCATGGAAGACTGGAGATCTAGGCCCAACTATCTCTTCTGTGTGGAAGTCATACCACCAACCTTGTACTTGGGTTTGGAGAGCAGGACTTTACATAAATTATCTCCTGGTGACTCACTCAGGAACACACAGAGGAAACAAATGAATGGTTTTTAGATACCTAAGCCTTGTGTCACTGACTGTGTGTCTCACAGAAATAGGCAAGTCATTAAGCAGGTCATTAAATTGACTTGAAATTAAGTAGGTGACTGGCTCTTTTTTTAAAAAAAAAAATTTATTTGTTCTTATTTTTGGCTGTGTTGGGTCTTGGTTGCTGTGCACGGGCTTTCTCTATTTGCAGCCAGCGGGCGGCTACTCTTCGTTGCGGTGCACGGGCTTCTCATTGTCTTGACTTCTCTTGTTGCGGAGCCCGGGCTCTAGGCATGCAGGCTTCAGCAGTTGTGGCACGCGGGCGCACGGGCTTAGCTGCTCCGCGGCATGTGGGATCTTCCTGGACCAGGGCTCGAACCCGTGTCCCCTGCATCGGCAGGTGGATTCCTAACCACTGCGCCATCAAGGAAGCCCCGGTGACTGGCTGTTATGACACTTACTTACCAGGATGACACGCAATCCCCAGAGCCTCACGCCCTTCCCTGTGCCTGGGGTGCGCGTTGGGGAGAATGCAGATGGGATTCCTACCATCGAGAAACTTCAAAAGTGGCTGAGGAGCCAAAACACAAGGCGAACAATAACTAGAAGATGAACAACAAGGTCCTTCCGTGCAGCACAGGGAACTATGTTCCATACCTTGTAATAAACTATAATGGAAAAGACTCTGAAAAAGAATCTATATATGTAGCTGAATTGCTGCTGTATGCCAGAAACTAACACAACATTGTAAATCAACTAGACTTCAATTAAAAAAAAAACACAGAAAACTAGAATATTTTTAAAGCGGGGGTGGGATGGGGTTAGGTGTTCAGAGCAGAGGCCCATGGCTGTGAAGGCAGCTCCTTCTCAGGAGATGGTGGTGGAGCCTCTTCCCAGGCTGCAGAGCAGGATTTGGCTGAAGGGCCACGATTAGGGGCTGGGAAGTGAAGAGGCAGCAGGGCCACGTCCGTGGGGCACAGAGACAGGCCTGGCAGGAGAAGCAGATGAAGTTACGTGCCTCAACTTCAGCTGGGCGCCGGCGCCTTTTATTCCCCAAGTCAGTCATTCTCATGCCATCTTCACAATTCGCCCTGTCTTCATACCATCTGTTCCATTATTACTTTAGTGTCTTATATCAGCTTTTTAGCAAATCCACTTTATGTAACTACCGTCAATAGAAAATGTTTTTCTCTCCTGATTTTCACTCAACACGTAACTATTAAAGCAAAACAGTAAGCCTGTGGCCTCCCCCATCATCTTTCATAGACTCCAGGAGTGGGTGCGTCTCATATTGGGGTCAGTTTCCAAGCTTCTTAACCGCTCTTTAACCCTCATCTGTGCTCTTCAAACTCCAAACCCACCTCTTCCTCTGAACCTCTCAGCCATGACCCTTGTCTCTGAATTTACTGTGAGCTTCAGCGTTAACCCTCTTCCATATTTCTCTGCACTCAGAGAACACATTCTTCCCAACCTTTTTGCCTTTGCTCCCTTCATTTATTTATTCAACAAATAGCCACAGATCACCTATTCTAGGCCCTCGCTACACTCATGGAGCTGACACTACACCAGCAGCTCACAATCAGGGGCGACTTCCTCCGAGAAACACATGACAATGTCTGGACACCTTTATGGTTGTCACAGCTAGGGAGGGGGGTGCACCTGGCATCCAGTGGGCAGAGGCTGGGATGCTGCTAAACACTCTACAGGACACAGGACAGAGACAGTCCCTCACATCAAAAAAGTGCCAGCCCCAAGCGTCAGTAGAAACGCTACTGACATTTCTAAAAGCATCGTAGAAACGCTGGGCTCAGGCTAACAGGCTCTTAGAATCTGGACTTAGGATCAGACAGGTCTACCGGCCTGGACTCCATCTTTTGTCCTTCCAGTCGCCAACTCACCTGACCTTTACAGCTACAGCGATTACTAGCTGTCCCTCAACAGGCCACAAGTTCCACACCCTTGAACTTTGCACGTGGTGTTCTCTGCCCAGAAGGCACTTTCCCCTCATTTGCCCTAAAGATTCTTGCTCATGTCTTGAGGCTGCAAATACTCCCCTGACCCCGAGTACCTCGAAGGTGTGCCTCTCCCCAGCTCGGCCCAACGCTTTGTTTCTGCTTCTGTGCTGGTGGCACTTTGTACAGATCTTGTGATTGTATTGTGTGTGTGTGTCCACAACTGCAATGTAAAGGACAAAGTTGTGACTCCTGTCTTAGTCAGTTCAGGCTTATGTAACAAAATACCACATGCTGGGTGGCTTATAAACAGCAGAAATTTATTTCTTTCAGTCCTGGAAGCTGGAAGCCCAAGATCAGGATGCCAGCAGGGTCGGGTTGCTGACTTCTCGTTGCAGCCTCACTTGGTGGAAGGGGCAAGGGGGCTGTCTCGGGCCTCTTTTGTGAGAGCATCGATCTCATCCATTTGGGGACCTCCCAAAGGCCCCACCCTCTTTTTAAAAAATATTTATTTATTAAAATATTTATTTATTTATTGCCTGTGTTGGGTCTTAGTTGCGGCATGTGGGCTCTTTGTTGCAGCGTGCAGGCTTCTCACTAGTTGTGGCATGGGCTCAGTTGCCTGCAGGCATGTGGGATCGTAGTTCCCCAGCTAGGGATCAAACCTGTGTCCCCTGCATTGCAAG